ATCTTGAGCATGCCAAACTTCATGTAGATGTCGGCCATCATCGGCACACCCCCGTACTGGCCATCACGCGTGACGGACGAAAGCGGCTGCAGCAGCGAGTAGAGCTGAAGGATGCAGTCCTTGTTGTCGCCTTCTTCGAGTGGAAAGGTTTTTCCTGCGTCGCTGTGAAGCTTCCGCAGGACGTGCCACAAGCGGATGACGCGTTCGAGTGTGCGAACCAGGGTGAGCCAACGTTGGGGAGCTTGGTTGGGGATCTTCAATATCTCGCCCAACAGGTCCACCTGAACGTCTTCGAACTTAGCCGTCAAGTTGGGAGACTTGTGGAGGGTCCCGACCATGCCGATGACGTTCTTCAGCATCTTGCGCCCTTCCGGGTTCTTGGACTTCTGAGGGTCGGGGTGGGTGCCGAAGGCGTCCTCGGCGGCCTTGACCATCAGGTGGCAACAACACCAGTTCCACAGAACCCCATACTTCGGGTGGAGGCCGTTGACGCTCACAGACTTGACGTCCGATCCGCTGTCCGTAGTACCCGATGCGAGGTCCGATGCGCGCAAGCCAAACTCGTGCAGGACACTCTCGAGGATCTTGAGAAGCACCTCCGCTGCCTTCGCCTGTCCAAGAGCGTCCTGGGCGGGCCGGTAGCGCTTGATCTGGGGGGAATGCAGGGGGACAGACACGGAGTTGCCAGAATAATCGGTGCATCAAGTTTTCTATCAGGTGTTCGAGTATAGTATACAAAATAGAAACAGCCTCGGTCAGAGCTAAGAAAAAGAACATTGAATTAAATTAACGCGGCCTTTTCACGAAAAAGAAAGAAAAGGCAAAGAGTACAGAGAGAAGACAGCAATTGCAAGACAGATCAAATTGCTCGTAGTANAGTTGCCAGAATAATCGGTGCATCAAGTTTTCTATCAGGTGTTCGAGTATAGTATACAAAATAGAAATAGCCTCGGTCAGGGCTAAGAAAAGAACATTGAATTAAATTAACGCGGCCTTTTCACGAAAAAGAAAGAAAAGGCAAAGAGTACAGAGAGAAGACAGCAATTGCAAGACAGATCAAATTGCTCGTAGTAAATACCACCATAGACGCCTAAATAAAATAAACCGATGGAAACTAGGAGATTACGCGCTACACGTGGTGCAAAATAATGAGTCGCAAATATTCAAGTTTTGGAAGTTTTTTTTTACGTCCAACATAAGGCGGTTCATTCACTCACAGAGATCAGGACTTGCTTCAGTTCGAAGCTGGCAGTCACGTAGANCTAGTAGTAAATACCATAGACGCCTAAATAAAATAAACCGATGGAAACTAGGAGATTACGCGCTACACGGGGTGCAAAAGAATGAATCGCAAATATTCAAGTTTTTGAAGTTTTTTTTACGTCCAACAAGAGGCGGTTCATTCACTCACAGAGATCAGGGCTTGCTTCAGTTCGAAGTTGGCGGTCACGTAGAAAAGGTGAACACCGAGGAACTTGCGCCCCGATGGTTTGTCGGTCCAGATGTCGATCATGTGGTGCAGGATGGGCAGCGGTGCGCTCCTCACTTCCACCAACATGTCGCCCAATACCGCCTGGGGCGAAACAGGGGTGGCGTCGGGACGTACGAACAGCAGAAAAGGTCACATTGTTTTAGACAATCATAGATGAAGCGTTGTGTTGTTTTCACCAACCTTCAACGAACGTTTGCAACCGCACANACCAACATGTCGCCCAATACCGCCTGGGGCGAAACAGGGGTGGCGTCGGGACGTACGAACAGCAGAAAAGGTCACATTGTTTTAGACAATCATAGATGAAGCGTTGTGTTGTTTTCACCAACCTTCAACGAACGTTTGCAACCGCACAGCTTACAATTGAATTTCACCGTGGAGGGGTTGGCGCTTTTGACTAAAGTTGGCTGCGCAAAGTAAACTTTCGACTTTCACCTTCTTCGTGGAGCAGTACAACTCGACGAGGAGGTGTTTCACACGCTTCGGAGGCAGCTCTGGGTACGATGTGTTTCCTCCGTGGGTCGCCATCATCTCCCTGAACATCTCTCCGCTGGAGTAGAAATGAAACGGCAACATTTTCTCCACGACTTGCTTCGCCGCCTGCAGTTTCTTCACCCTGGACGAAAATAAACACCAAGATAAACATTAAACACGCAATGTAAATGTAATTCGTAACTTCGATCGGACGGCTTTGCCCCGTGTTTTTTTTTTTTTATGAGGCAGTATCAATATTAATATTGCAATTGCAGTATTGCTGCGGAACCTTGAAATCAAAATATAATTATAATAATATAATAGCAAACTTGCTTGAATAAAACACAAACAGTTAATACAAACCGTAGCGTAATTTAATTTGTAATTTGCTTCCTCCGATACCATTAACAATACTGCTGTACTGCTCTTAACAATACGAAAAAAGTTCAAGTTTCAGTTTAATACAAACTCAAACTACTACTGTACTGCTGTACTAAAAAAATAGATACATTTACTCAGTACAGAACAAAAATAAAAATATATATATATAGTCCAGTACCGAACAGCACACACCTTCGGCCTCCAACGCCAAAAGTCGTGGCCGCCGCCACAGCTGAGACGATGTTTCCTTGTCTGGTCTGCGCCCTCTGCTCCCTCGCTTTTCCTTGGCCGCCACGCA